GTGTTATGGAAACTCTTGCGGTAGAGGTATGGTGATGATGATGATAATGTAACAGCCATACCATTAACTGAGATTCGGCCACTATTACTGAGTACCTCTAGACATTGTCATATCTCTCCCAATCCTAAAAATAAAACAAAACAAAGCACACACACACACACACACACACACACACACACACACACACTACTGTGATCCATAACACTCTCTTCCTACTCACAGACCAGTATCCCCTTTCCCTGAAAGAGTACCCTATTTCTATCTCCATTCCTCATCTATCACTCATTCCTCAACCCACCGCAGTCTGGCTTTTCTTTCCCAACCCATCTTTCCCAACCCATCCCAACCCTGCCTCTTCTGGGACTCTAGAACCTCTGCTCTCATCCATCTTCACATATTTATTCAGCAAATACTGAGTCCCTACCGGTGCCATACATAGTTCTCACTCCTGATATATGACAGCAAATGAGACAAAGCCTCTTTTCTCAGGAAGTTCCCATTCCTGGCGTGATTCAAAGATAATAAATGAGGAAAAAAGGAAACAGATTGTGAATTAATAATTCCACAGAGAAAGAAATAAGTAAATAAGTCTAAAATATATGTATATTACATATAATATGTATACAACAATCTTAATTATATATCTACATATATATATACACACACACACACACACATACATGATGAGGGAGAGAGCAGTACTTTAGATTAGGTGGTCAGAAAGACCTCAGTGCAGAAGTAGCAAGTGAGGGAAAATAAAACCCCAAAATGACTCTATTAAACAGTTCTAATAAGAATAACATGAAGATGGGTTAAACAGTTTGTAAAGTAATTTTTTATAGATTTTATTTATTAATTTGACAGAGAGAGATCACAAGTAGACAGAGCAGCAGGCGGAGGGGTGGGAAGCAGGCTCCTGCTGAGCAGAGAGCCCTATGCAGGGCTCCATCCCAGGACCCTGGGATCATGACCTGAGCTGAAGGCAGAGGCTTAACCCACTGAGACACCCAGGCGCCCCTGTAAAGTAATTTTTGTGTGAATTTTAAAATATGACAAGAATGTAAAGTGAGAAAAAAAATCTAAAAGCAAACAACTTTTGATATGAAGTGGAGCCTGTAGTCCTTCAACTACAGGACATTTGGCAAAAATGAAAATTCTAGAGCATGCATTTAATGAGAGGGAGAAAGGAAGGAAGGTAGGGTGACCTTGATTTAACATCAGTCGACTGCCAATAAAAAGAGGTACTTCAATCGAGCATACTCGTATTTCATAAACTCACGGGATTCTGAAAAAACAAAAAAGGATCTCCAGGCTACACACTCCTTTCAAGTGCTTCCAATGAAGGGGTTCGCTTCCACAAATTTAAGGAAATTTTAATGTTGAAAAATCTATAATTCACTGAAATAAACCAAGAAAATAGTATTCTCAATGCAGCTAAAGCTACTGAAAGGACATGTTTGATATCTAATAAGTTACCTGAAATGGCTTAAAAAACCAAAATTGGGGGCATCTGTGTGGCTCGGTGGGTTGGGCCTCTGCCTTTGACTCAGGTCATGATATCAGGGTCCTGGGATCAAGCCCCGCATTGGGCTTTCTGCTCGGGGGAGCCTGCTTCCTCCTCTCTCTCTGCCTGCCTCTGCCTACAGGTACTATCTAATTTGGTTTTTAGAACAATGGTATTATAACTAATTTATTACAGAAGAAATTCAGGTCCAGAAAGCACAGAGTCACATTAAATTAGCCATATTCTTAATCTTGTCCCACCCAACCCCAACATTCCTACTACCTAAACATTGAAAATATGGCTCATTCATTCACTCAACAAAATTCTTGGTATCTACTGTATTTCTGGAATCGACACTACAAATATGTCTATGAGTAAGAAACTATGCCTGACTTCAGGTTGTATTTGCTTAGAGTCTACTAAGGTTCATATTTATTTTTTTTATTTTTTAGATTTTTTAAAAAAAAATTTATGTTCACTTAGCCAACGTATAGTACATCATTCGCTTTTAATATAGTGTTCAACGATTTATTAGTTGTATCATGTTTATTTTTCAGAGTGCGAAGTTTCCCAAGATAAAGCTGTTCTAAATATTTACTCATTTGCAGAGCAATCAGATCAACTCAACTTATTTAGGCTCTTTTCTTAGTGTTTCAATATTTTTAAAATTTAATTTCCAAATATGCACAAATACTTTTTGACTGTAATGCTTAAAATCTTTCTTGTTACTTTCTGACTCTAATAAGAATGAGTAGCATTTCATCACCAAAGGTGGTATTAAGATTTTGTTTGAGATCTATGTGCTCAGAATAACAATTTTGGTTTTCTTTCCTTTTTTAAAAAAAAAATATTTATTTATTTGACACACAGAGAGAAATAGAGATAACAAGAGAGAGCACAAGCAGGGATGAAAGGGAGAAGCAGGCTTCCCACTGAGCAAGGAGCCCTATATGGGACCGAATCCCAGGACCTTGGGATCATTACCTGAAGGGAAGGCAGACGCTCAACTGACTGAGCCACCTACGTGTCCCCCCCCTTTTTTTTCTTTTTAGATTTTATTTATTTATTTGACAGACAGGGAGAGAGAGAGAGAGAAGCAGGGGGAGTGGCAGAGGGAGAAAAAATACTTTAAATATCTGCAGAATGCCCCAAGAACAAAAACTATAGAGTTTGTCCCACTTTTTAGAGCTACAGGTCCTTTTGTGCTAAGTGAGGTGGCTCTGAAAAGAGCCTTTGGTTTGCAAGGTGGTGAGGCCGTCCTCAGGCAGCTCATTGGCGGGAGGTGTACCTGATGTTGGCCTTGCTGGCCTCAGACATGGTGAACTTGCCAATTTCCCCCGGCAGCAGCAGGCACACAGCTGTCTGGATCTCCCTGGAGGTGATGGTGGTGCGCTTGTTGGAGTGGGCCAGGCGAGAGGCCTTGTCGGCGATGCGCTCGAAGATGTCCTTGATGAACAAATCCATGATGCTCACAGCCTTCTGTGGGAGGCTCAGGCCCTTGTGAACCTGCTTCAGAACCCTGGGGAAGTACGTGGTGAAACTGTTGTGGGAGCAGCAGCGGTGGTGGCAGTGGCCACCGCGCCTTGGCTGCTCCTGCTTCGGGCTCTTCGGGTCTGCTGCCATGGGCTCCTCAGTGCCCAGGTTTCGTCAGAGGAGGTCTCACAGCCAGGCTGAGCCATGTGGACTTTGCCTTCCCAACACCTCAGAAGGAGGGAGAATGGCGGCTACTGAGGGGTGCTGGCCCATTTATGGTCGTTGCATTTCCTGACGTCATGGGCAACCTCCATATCTGATTGGACAAAATGCAATGCGGGAAATCAGAGCTCTATGCCAGGCCTTTGTCATCTGTGATTGTATACCCTCGAGCTTGACAATCACATTGGAGAATCAAAGAGGGAAATCCAGTACCCTCTAAATTTCTTGGGACGTCAGGTAGAAAATCTTTGTAAGATGCCACAAAGAGCAAAAGGTCCTCTGAGAATAGCAGCTGACAGATGCACATAATAAGAACTTTAAGAAAATATCACTCAGGGTTGCCTGGTTAACCCAGTTGGTTCAGTGTCTGACTCTTGATTTCTACTCGGGTCATAATCTCAGGGTGGTGAAATCTAGCCCCTTGTGGAGCTCCCCATCAGCAGGGTGTCTGCTTGAGATTCTTTCTCTCTCTCCCTCTGCTGCTCCCTCCTGCATGAGCTCTCTTCTTTTCTCAAATAAATAAATCTTTTAAAACATATATCACTCAAATCACCTATATTGTGGAACATCAACTTTAATCCCTTGGGAGAGTGGAAACTTCCCAACCAAAGTTATACCACCAGCACTATGACTTGCCACAAATTGGCCATTTCACCTCTAATTCATAATCTGCTTGGTGGCCACTATGGCTTAAGCAGAAACTCTATGACATAGTTATCAGAGTGCTCCCACAATCAAGGGACCCTTCTTACTAACCAGTGTCTTTAGTTCTGATAAGAACTCTCCATGATTTGGGAAAGAAATGGAAAAACCACCATCTCCAAAATCAGAACATATACAGAAATGATTACAGGGACAGTTTCAAATCCTTAAACAGGTACCACGTTTAAAATTTTCTTATCAATATTTGGATCCTAAAAATTCTTTAATTGTTAATATTGATTAATATATATATAAGAGCTATTGTATGAAAAATATGTATTAACCTAATTCTCTAAGAAACCTCCTTAAGGAGAGAAGTTATCAATATAATGGAAAATATTTTAAAATTAAAAACCCAACCCTTTGGGAATTTTTGATGACACACACAAACATATTTCTACATGTATGAATGCAAAACAGTTTAAAATTTGAACCAAGGGAATTATAAAACCAAACCAGTTACAGAAATTGAATCAAACAAAGAATTAAAGAAATAGAGGTCATCAATGAGCTATGGTCCCAAATGGTCTGGCTTCCAAGGGTGTGTCTTGTCAAACCTTCAAGGATCAGGTAATTCTACTGCTAATAAAATAGTTCCAGATAATGAAGAAAAAACCCTCCTTCTTATTTCAAGAAAATATAATATGATGGCAAAACCTATTGAAGAATGTATGCTAACCAAATTTCTGAGAAGTCCCACTTCTACTTCAAATATTATCAATAAGTAATAAATAAGTTAATAAATAATTGTTATTTGTGATAATTTAATAGTTTATTAAATTAATTAATAAATGTATTATTAATAAATTTGGTGTCACATTACAGAAAAGACTTTTTATTTTTTTATTTTTTTTTTATTTATTTTTTTTTTTATAAAGATTTTTATTTATTTGACAGAGATCACAAGTAGGCAGAGAGGCAGGCAGAGAGAGAGGAAGGGGGGGAAGCAGGCTCCCTGCTGAGCAGAGAGCCCGATGCGGGACTCGATCTCAGGACCCTGAGATCATGACCTGAGCTGAAGGCAGCGGCTTAACCCACTGAGCCACCCAGGCGCCCCCAGAAAAGACTTTTTAAATAAGAGAAAGTTTTATTGCTGTAAATAGTAAATTATAAGCATCAAACTGGAGGAAGCATTATTCATAAAATAAAATACCCCATACGTATATTTTTCAACACTACCCCCACTGTAGAGTCCATTTAAATAAATGAGCATCCAAACACAGTACAGAAATAGCTAAATCACGAAGCTCATAAAATAGTGTTTTTTTCAAGTTTCCTAGAACTGAAGTAACTAGTTTAACTCAGATTTATCCAATTCTATTGTTTCCTGGTCTACACTTTTTTTTTTAAATACTCTTGTTTTTTAAAATGCAAAGATTCGGAACCTGCAGTTATGCCTCATGGGATGAGAGGAACACCAAATCAGAGTAGCCCAAGCCCACCTTCCACTGGTTCAGCCAATGGAAGACCTGCAGACCCTAATCCACAGCCATTGGCTC